CAATTTGATCTTACACCCCCGGCCATAAGTCACCGGTCATTTACAGTAAATTTTTCCTAAATTGTCTAGATTCTCCCTAAATTCTCCCTAAACGTTCAGATTGCACCTAAAAATGGAATTGGGAATAGTTACCAATAGAAAAACGAGTCGCAAGGCTCGACTAATCGTATCTCCTTTTCCCAAATTGTCCATTTCTGTGCACAATCTGAGCGTCGATTAGGGAGAATTTACTATATTTATTTTCAAGAAAATGATTATTAGAACGCAGATGTAGTTGTCTGGATTAATTTTATTGCTGAGATTTGTTGCATATATTTATCTGTTGAATTGTGCATCTGAAATTTATTGTTTTACCTGTAAAATCCGAGAAATACGTTCAAGTCATCGTATCTGCAGTGGAGAGTATATCGACGAAAAAAATAACGACGTGCAAAATAATAATTCTATAAATATAGATATATCTATATAATATATATATACTTCGAGAAAGCAAGTAATAAAATGAATCGAGAAAATTGCATCTGTTCGTTAATAATCATTCTTCTAAAAATAACTAACTGTCCGATGACGTATGGACGGGAGTGTACGTCTATGTCGAACGACTGTGCATCTTGAAAAAAAGAAAAACAAATACTTGGAATATCAATCTTAATCGATCATAAATTATGCTTTAGGATTTAGCTGCAGCGTGGGAGAAAAATATGTACAATGTACTAGGAATATTAACTGCCAATAAGAGTTGTAAATTCTAAAACGAGTATAAAATAATGTAAGAAGCAGAATGGTGAAATAGTAGAAATTGGTGTCGAATTTTGCACCGGCAGACAGTCGAAGCGTCCAAGACTTGCCGAACGTGGAAAGAAAGAAATGTTGCGCGGCTATAGACCTTGTGGATAGAAATTTCATATCTTTTCTATCGATTTTCATACTTTCTGTCCTCGCGGCAGAGGAGGGTGGCGCGCGTCCGTCAAAAGAAGGGGATCAGAATGGCTACGAGATATACGTTTCTTTCTTTTCACTTGCGGATTCATTAAAAAATTTCGATTCGAAGTATTTCCCTTTGAAATCGCATACAAGGTTGATCTACCGATAGGAGCCGCGTGATCGATGGTAAGAGAATAACGAACGCTCTCCTCGCCTCGAGCTTCTCAGCGGCCAGGTCTTCCTTAATTACCCAGACCTATAGGTAGGAGTTATCAGCGTCGATAGCTCGAAACAATGGCCACCTTGGACCGTAACCCCTTAATGCTGGAATTCTCCGAGAAAAGTCGACAGAATTATGAGCCGGTCTTCCATTAACCCGCACTCGTAATCAACAGTTAATTTTTAAGGCTGCCCCCGACCACCCTCTTCTCGGTCTTAACTTTTTCCCCGCTGTACTTTGTTTCGCGTCTTTCTTCCTTTCTTTCTTTAATGTTTTTCCGATTTCCACCAAGCTCTCGTCGATGCCGGCCATTCATTTCGTTTCGTCTCGTTCCATTTCGTAGGAATTTCATGACCGCATTGAATACGTGGCACTCGATGAATCGGTCTCTCGACCGGTCGTTCTCTAATCTCGTGGCGGCAACCCCACCGGCATAACCTGTAATCACCCCTTCAAATCAAGTCACCTGCTTAAACGGTAAATATCGCATGACGCACAGGAAATGGCTGTTGGTAGTTCATCAGACTGTTTTCGCTTCGTTAAAGTGATCGATGCGACGTCATTAGTCTACACAACGCCCGATCGGCCACACCAAAAATCAACTTATTTACGAAGATTTGCTTGAAGCATAAGCTATATGAATACACTATAAATACACAGATGCACCCTTTGAAACTGTGTCAATATAACAGGTTCCACATTTTTTAATTTACGATCATCAAAATTCCAAAGATGCGTTTATTCAATTTTCTTTTATATATTTTTTCAAGCTACCTTCTCGAAACCAACTTGGATTTTCTTATTCGATCTGATACATAATTAACAATTTATCAGAGTAACTGTTGGAAAATCATATTTTAGTCCAAAAGCAAACCCTAACATTTTGCTCCAAAATCTTGCCCCAGATCGCAAACGATTTATTTCTACGTTCATCGCTAATGAGAACAAATACTGAAAGAGCACAAATTAATAACATGGATTTAGTAAGAGCGTTTTAGAGCCGCTATTGATTATTTCAAATTGATTTTGGGAGAACGGAGGGGCGCGGTGAAGTCGTTTGCTTTTCGCCGGACAGACATTGACGCACCACGAAGCGTTCCCCAGCGGTGTTCTTTGCGTGTAATTAGCCCAACGTGTCGACTTCCGAGTCGGGGCACCCAATGGGAGAGTTCCTAAAACCATTTCCGGCGGAGAACACCTTTTTATTCTACTCGCCCCACGCATGACGGCCCAAAAGGGAAGTACCGATTAAAGGTAGGAAGTCCAGAAGTTCACGACCCCCCTCGAAGTGTTACGTTCTTCGAGGCAGATACGATTGTAGACGTTATCGAACCCGAGACCATATGTCACCGTTTTCAGGCGGCGAGTATACTCCCCGCACGTTGCGCCTAAGATAATTGCCAGGGAGCAGTATCTTGGGGCGAAATCATTCTGTCCGGCATAGAGGCTCGAAAACTTGGAAACATACTGAAATAGAAGAGTGATCGAACGATCATTGGAAATCGCTGAAAATTCTGGCCATCGTTAATACGAATTTATTAAAAAAAAAATTCATAATTAAAAGAAATTAATTTCCCAAGATATCTCGGCGAATCTCAGTCGATATTCCCGTGTTTCGGTATCTCCTGAATTTACATGCGACAAACGTATAAAAATTTGCAGTCAAGTTTAATAACTGCTCGCAGTTTGTAATTTTCACGCGCCACGTAACAGTCAATTATTTCCTATTTTCCATTAAACAGTGCGCATACAGTACGGACGTATATACATTTGCGCGCACGGTTTCGCGAGCGATTCGTATCTTTTGGAAATATTTAATATCAGAATGCTTCTGGAATCGATGAATATATTCGGTAGCACGCCTGTTGGAAGCGAGCGGATAATAAACAAATTTCGAAGCCGGTTGCATCCCTTTTGCACGCGCGATCGCGTAAACGGCGGGGAACAGTGAGACTGAAAGCTCATGCGCGCAGCTCGAGGAAAAAAAGTACAACGATTCCGTGCTTCCACCAATTCGCCGCTTTTGCCACGTGTTGCTATATACGCATTTCTCTTTGAGCCTCCTTGTTGCTTCATGAGCCGCGCGTATACATACGTCTAGTCGCTCTGTCGATATATAGGGACGAGTACTCGTGTCCTCGAACGCAGGCGGCTCGTGCGTAGGCAAACTATGGAATATGTCGGCCTATTGAGCGCAGGTGCTTTAAGCTGCTCAGCTGTTGCTTCGGGATCTCATGCACATTCACGCAAACATATATCGCGGCGATATTGGTGCACACTAAGCAGCCGGCGCGGTCGTATCAAACTGCGTGCGTGCAAACGCAGAAGGTCGACTCGCGTGTACTCACGCACTTATGCGTATCGGCAATTGAATCGTGAAACGATCGAGCCTAGTCGTCGTTGAATGAATTTGTGGAACGGCTGGTCGATTATCCGTTCGTCGTTGCCGGCTCGTCGCGAGAAACTGAGACACCCACGCACCCAAAACGTCGACTTGTCCCCGATTAACCCCTTGTCGTATCGTTTCCTTGGCAAATTACAACGATTCCGATTGTTCTTTGGTTTCTTTTTTTTCTCGGAATGAAAAGAATACGTATTTTCATTGTACATCTACATGTATACTCATTGGAAGGCTTAAAAGAACAGAACTGCATCATTAGTAACAACAGCAATGGTCCCCAATATGTGCGAAAGTAGAAATGGAAAAAGTAGAACGATCGACGTAATTTAATTTGTCTCGATGTCAAATCGATGGAAATCAACACAATGGAAAGACGAATTCCTGGAGATTCTTTCAATTCGCGTCGTTGACAACTAATTGGGCGACGTGGAAAATGTGTGAAATTTACGTGAACTTATTTATCGGCTTGTAATGACAGTCGTAGAATAAAGAGGAGCTATTATTATCGCGAAGATGATATCGAATTCAATGACTGAACCGAGAAAGTTGCGGGGGACTGTTCGAAGATGAATATAGCCTGCTCAAGTTTGACCACGGCAGATGGTGTGTGCTGGTCTATGACCGAGGAATCACACTATCAATTACTTTTTTGCGCTCCCCTGCCGCCAATCGATCAACGACAGCGGTTCGAATAAGAAATTTAATGCAAAGTAATTTTCTTATGGTCTCTCCTCGGTCACCGGCTACTTTCTTCTTTAACCAATCCTATGTGGCCGGCCCCTACGCCGTCAGTGGTTACAGAAACACGCGGCAAGACAGTCGAAGTTCGAAGAGAATGTTCATATTCGAATCGAAGACGATTGCTCGCTTTGCTGTATTTTTAATGAACAGCGACCGGCATCTCCGTGTTTCTTGAGACAAGGTGGAACGTGCCGCTTTTACCGTACTTTTCTACACGTTATTCCGCAAAATTTTTCGGAGCAAATGCACGTTCCTCGTAGACGTAAAATCAGAAATTTTCTAACGATGAAGCTAGCTTGAGAAAGCTCGATGAAAAATTGCAAGCTCTCTTGCAACGAGAGATAAATATATCTTTGCTCTAGAACTCGGACCGCATATAGCGCATTTCTGGACTTCGAAGAATTTCATAGCAAGCACGTGACGCATCAATACTGCATTGAATCGTTCTCTAAGGTAATAAAGTTACGTGTGGGAAAGTTATGTCACGGGGAAAAAGTCAACAATAGCGGCGCACGATGGCCGTAGACGTTTCTATCTACGGAAGTGAAGGAGCGTCTATATGCGGACCGGGTCTAAAATAAAAGAAAAAAAAAACGAGGAGACGGTCCGGTATAACTTTTCCGTCTAACATCGATTCCCTTTCATTGACCACGTAGGTGAGCCACTCTCGTACACGAACCAACTAAAGGGGGTTCAACGTTATTTCTGTTGCAGACGAATAAGAAGAACCGCGGTAACGAAAATCGAGGCGAGGGAGAGAGGGGCAGCCAGCCCTTTGGTGAGCTCGAAGGATGCAGCTCCCAGGCGGGAGCACGAGGATTCCACCCGCGAGATCACCGGCTTCGCTTCCCGTAATTATTAACGGGAGTAGTAACATTTCATCAACTGTCGCCAAGGAACGCAACAACGGTAGAGATTCAAATGGAAGCGGCGGTGCCGGCTTGATTTGCCATCGCAGCAAGATCGCAATAGTGACCAGAGGTTGCGGAAACGGTCCCCAGAACGTGTCCCGCGTCGCGAGAAGAAGTCGTCATTCCGAGACGAAGACGAATCGCCGACACCGAGTAATCGCGAAGCCCCAGTTGTTGGCGTCCACCCCACGACGGAAGGAGGGAGGCGAGGAATAGTGAAAAGGAGGCGAAGAAAAACCGAGAAACGACGGAAGAAGCGGAAGAGGTGGTGCGAGAAAAGGAGACGAGGAGGAAGCAAAAGTTCGTCGGGAAGGAGAAGGCTGCCGACGTCGTCGTCGTCACCGACGACAGCGGAGGAGGAGGCGGAGGAGGCGGAGGAGGAGGAGGAGGAGGAGGCGGCGGAGGAGGAGGAGGAGGAGGAGGAGGAAGAAGAAGAAGAGGAGAAAGAAGAGGCGGCGGCGGCGGCATAGCAGCGGGAGGAGGAGGAAAAAGAAGTGGCGGCGGAGGCGGTGGCGACGGGCGGAGAAGGAGAAGGAAACGGTAAAGACGAAGAAAGTGGGGAGGGAAGAGTATCACCGGTCAGAGTGGGGAGCGTAAGGTAGAAGGAACGAGGAGGAAAGGCGGCCGTGGTAGGGGAAACTGCCGGAGAGTACGGAGCAGAGAAGCAGAGGCAGCGCGCTGAGCCACGAGGGGCTATTCAAGCGTGAAGGGGAGGGGTGACAAGGAATCCTGGCGGGGAGGGGACGCGGAGGCCTTCGGGGGGCCGACCAACCAGACGGCCGATGATGTCATCGGGGGAGGAGACCGAGTATTTCGCCCCCTACGGAGCAACCACGGAAAGCAAGCAACAGCAACTCCAGAAGAAGCAGAAGCGCACCAGACAGCGCGTGGACGCCGGCGAGCCGCGCAACAACTATTCGAGTATACCGCACTTCACCTCCCGGCCATCCTTCCACGGCGGCGGTATATACGGTTCGATCTTCGGTGGCAACGGGCCAACGCTTCCGCAACAACAACAACAACCGCCGTCGCAGCATCATCAATCACAATCGCAACAACAACAGCAACAACAACAGGCTGGAGCAGCTGGCAGTCAAGGTCACATAGGCACAGCTACGACGGGTCCCACCGCTCAGCAGCATTCCGCCCACGCGGCATTCGGTTTCTTCGGGGCACCGGGTTACGGCCCCACCAAGATGTTGAACGAGCTGCTCGGACGACAAGTCAAGCAGGCCAGTGACGCCGGTGGTTCACCGCCAGAGGGCGGCCACGGGATGACTGGCGCCGGCATGGATTCTGCCGCGAATTTGCAATCCGGTGCTGTGGTTAATTGCGACGATCCCGCCACCGCTGAGCTCACGCAGCACATGCTTCGCGACATACTGCAAGGGCGCAAGCTCACGGCGCTCTCGGTACCCGAACAGCCGAACAACAATAACAGTATACACAGTAACAACAACAACAACACGACGGATCTACTTAAGTCACAGCAGCAGCATCAACAGAGTCCTCAGCAACAAAATTGTGATAGTGCGCGTAGTGGAACAGTGCAGAGTGGGGGCGAGGAGAGTGTTGATGGAAATAATATGGTGAACAACGCGAATCACAGTGATCGTGATACCGTGATGCCGGGCGATGCCGAGGACAGCGCCGAGGACGCTGCCGCGGCTGCACGTGCTATGGAGGAGGCGTTCGCCGAAGCTGGTATGGAGCCTGGGGCCAATTTGGATGGGTCGGACTGCGAGCAAAGTTTACCGCCGAGTCCCACGCAGCCAAGGTCAGGATCGGTCTCGGTCAAGGAGGAGATACAGGACTCGATGAATATCAAACGGAGTCCGAGCAACTCGCCTTGCCCGATCGTACCGAAAACCGAGATCAGCTCGCCGACCACCGAGATCAAGCGTGCTCGCGTGGAGAACATTGTCAGCACGATGCGCAGCAGTCCCGCCCTCCAAACGACCACGGTGAACGGCTGCAAGAAACGGAAATTGTACCAGCCGCAACAGCAGACCGTGCACCATGTTCTCCAGCACAGTGTCAACGACACCATGATGGACTACGAGGAGGAGAGCGAGGAGGAGGAGGATCCTTCGACGATCAGGCAAAAACGCGAGGAGAAGGACAACCTGAAGAGTCAGTTGAAGTTGCTGCACGAGCAGCTGGCGGTAATGCAGCAAAAGTACAATGAGCTTTCGAGCAGAATGGAGCCAGACACGAGCGAAAGCGGCGATGCGCCCGCCAGTCCTCAGCATCAACCTCAACCACCACCACCGAGACCACCGCGACCTCATCCACCAGCGTACAATGGCCTCCCAGCCATACCAGCTGAACACACGCACGCTTCGGCAGCTATGTATCACATAGGACACAAAGCCTACCTCGAACAGCAACACGCTGCTCTAGAGAGAATAAAGCAGCATCAGGAGGCCGCTGCGAGGCAACATCAACAGCAGCAGCAGCAACAGCAGCAGCAACAGCAGCAACAACAGCAGCAGCAGCAGCAACAGCAGCAGCAACAGCAGCAACAACAGCTTCAACGACAAACCTCTCCACCACCACCCCCTCCGAGTCAAGTACAACAACAGAGTCAAAGCAATACCGGCCCGTCCACGCCGCAGACGCCACAAATGCAATCGGCGAGCGCGCCTCTTCAACATAAGGATATCCAAGAGAGGTTAAGTGTTTTTAGAGGAGCCGCCGCGGTTGGCTCGTCCGGTCCACATATCACTGGTGCGGACCTCGAAGGCTTGGCGGATATCCTCAAAACGCAAATCACCTCGTCTTTGATAAATCTAGTCGACAGTGTAGTGGCGAGATTCGTGCAGCAGAAGGGGTTTCTTGGTAAACAGAGCGAGGCGGCACAGGTTGCCGCCGAACAATTAAACAAAGACCTCCTTCTGGCCAGCCAAATACTCGAAAGGAAATCACCTAGGACGAAAGTAGTCGATAGAGGAGCACCACAACCATCCGGTGGCCCAAACGGGCCACGGGGGCCCCACAATGGCGGGCCCCCTCCTACACAGTCTACGGGTTTCCCTCAAATCGGAATCATGGGTGGTGGGCCCCATGGTCCTCATTCTGGCCCCACGGAAAACAATCTTAATCAAATGAACCAGCTGCCACCCCATGTCAGGTCGAACGGCACGTTATTTCAGACGCCAAAACCGCCGACGATATACGCCATGACCTCCATGCAGGCGCAGCAACAACAACAACAGCACCAACAGCAACGCGAACACCAGCAGAGAGAACAGCAGCAACGCGACCAATACTGCAAGATGAGGAGCGACGAGAGGGAAAACAGGGATTCGGAACAGAACGAGGCCCTGTCCCTTGTTATGACGCCCAAGAAAAAACGTCATAAGGTAATTATCCACTGAACATTTCTTTAAACTATTCGTAGCAAATATTTCTTTTGCATCGCTAATTAAATGAATGAGTTTGCTCCTCGGCATTTCTACCCTCGATAAATGTCCAAGTCCACGATCATTTAGAACTTGAGCTATCACAATTTAATAATGTTCAATGAATACCAAATTTACTATGAAAGTAATTAGTCTAGTAATTAGTAATCTTTTTTTCTAAAAATAAAATATCACGTTTTGGCAATATGTATATAAAATAGAAAGATCTGTTCATTCATTTCCTCGAAGGAATACAAAATTTATAGTACGCTATCGTTCATGTAGTATCACGCATGCTTATAGAGTTCAAGTGCTTATTAGTCTTTCGCTATGTTCCTTTGGCTGGCTTTTTACGTTAAGTATATCTATGTGTATAGGATAAGTATTTGAATTTCAGATTATAAATCAAGGTATCAATTAGTATTTTCCTTCACAGGTGACGGACACGAGGATCACACCGAGGACCGTGTCCAGGATCCTGGCGCAGGAGGGCAGCTGTTCGCAAGGAGGCAGCGAGAGCCCGCCACCTCCACCTCCACCGAGACCTTACCACGCGCCACCACCAATGCTGCCAGTGTCTCTGCCAACCAGCGTAGCGATACCAAACCCCAGTCTCCATGAGAGTCAAGTGTTCTCGCCGTACTCGCCGTTCTTCAACCCTCACACGGGTCATCCGGGTCAGGTACCACCCCCGGGATCGCATCATCTACCTGCAAGTCCTCCAGGTGCAAGTGTAGAACTCAGGGATTCCCCACCGCTGCCTCATCCGCCGGCTATACTGCATCCTGCCTTATTGGCGGTTGCCCAGCATGGCAGTCCAGACTATGCGCATCTGAGGATGGACACCAATGACCGGAGCAGCGAATGCAACAATGGCGACATCGGCTACGATGGAGTGCAGCCTACAATATCCTTTTCTAATGGTACAGTTGACCAAAAAAAAAAAAAAATGGGGGAACAAGAAATAGATATAAAACAGATTCGTTGGGCTAAAAGTTGGAGAACGTCCAGAACATGGTCTTCGCAAGCAGGGCACCGGGGGCTCGCTCATAGTAGTTACCGAATTGTCCAAGTTTACGATTCAGAATCGAAAGCCGGCCGGTAATCAGCGTCTCGAAAATTCGATGATACCGAGGGGGCGATATTGCGCCGCGGCGACGTGGTCTGGACGGTTCTCCAAAGAAAGTACCGCCGAACTTTCAATATTAAAACCGGGAAGAGTATATACACGGACGAAGGCAGTCGGAAGAGCGTTAAAACGCGATAGTAAAAGCGAAAGAGTTGATGACGATACTTAGGAGAACGTATTCTCTCCCCTGCGCGGAAGGGAAACGCGAAGCTTGGTAACTTTGGAAAACAACCGTCGAGTTCTCCGGGAGAAAAAGCTGGCCGGCCAACAACCAGAAGGAAGTCGGGAGAATACCAGGAGGCGGGAGAGGAACCTCGGACGAATGTTAGATTAGTTTGCCACGGAGTTAGGCTAATGTTGGCTGCACCTACGAGTAGAGTTTGTCCGGCAACAACGCGCGAGGTCGAAAGTTCTTTGCCTACTCGGCCCACCCTCGACCTCGAGTCTCACCCAACTTCGCAAGCCAATAATCTGTCCCGCAATTTCGGAATTTAACCACGAAAAGGAGAGAGGAGGCGGTCTGTGAACTTCCTATCACGGAGCGTATACTCGACTTATCGTAGATAAGTCACTTCTACTACTTCCCCGAGCTGCACGGGAATCCACGAGACTCCTTTTCTGCGCGGTCAACTTCCCGCCAACTAGATTCCTTATACTTGACCGTCCGCATGGCTATGCTTTGCCCCCAGCATTGTGCTTCTCGCCGCGGATACCTTCCGCTTCCCTGCGCCGGCTAGTCCGTTCACATAAAGCCGAAACTCTTCGGGAACTGTTAATTAAAATCTGCTCGATCTTTGCATCCGAGGATCGAAGGGAATTGTTCCCGAAATTCTCAAAATCTGATCTTCCTAAACGAAAGAACGCGTCTTCCTGCTTTTTCGTCGCTGTCTGAGAATCTCGCAAATCTCTTCGGTCTAATGTTCAAAAAAATGAATCGACAAGAAAAAGCATTTTCAAAGTTCTCTATAGAAACGTGTTCGTCGCTTCAATAGCTTTTTCCCAAATGGAAGAAAATTGTAGTCAACTTCTGGTCGGATGAAACGGAAACCGAGGAAATCGCGAGGTTCCTGCAGCAGTCTCGAAGCGTTGCGCACCAAACTTCGTCAGAAAAATATTAATTAAAGTCTCCTAAATCTCTGGGCCCTGGAAAAAAAGGAAACGCGGCGGCGCCGAAAGTTTACGAGCCGAAGGAAATAGAGAACGACGCCCGTCGAGTTTGTCGCAACAACCGGAAACCGAGGAAGTCGCGATGCTCGTCCCCCGCGGCAGTTCGAAAGCGTGGCGAGCAGGTGCGAGAAGTTGAGCAGTTCCGATTATCACGCATGACCCGGCCGTGGGGGTCAGTTCGTAGCGGCCTTCTCACTTACCGAAAGCGCTAGCAAATATCGGGCTCACAACCTGGAAAAAAAGACTTATGTCGCGGGTAGGCGGGGGCGTTTAGTGGACGTGTAAACGCGTCGGAAACGGTGCAACGTCGGGAACTGCAACGGTGTGTGTTGGTTCGGGTCGCTCGATCGGCCGCGCGGCGTTCTTTACCACCTTTTTAGCCGGCCTTTGATGTAAAATCAATGGCGCATTTTTTCACTCCCTCCTCTTGGGGTAGGTCGAGCGCATGGCCGCGGTACAACCTGTGCTGTTCACCATTCTCCTCTGGATTCACCCTCGTGTCTATCTCTCTCGGTACTCTCGTGCTGGGCCTTCGGCGTATCCGAATATGCTTTTCACGCTGTCCGAATTTCCTTCCCGGTACCACGCTGGCGGGAAACGTGCTCGTGCACGCGGCAAACGCACGACGAGGGGCTGCGACGACGCTCTCGATGCGTCGTTCTCGAAGAATTGCATTCCACGCTTTCGCGCGAACGTCGGGCTGGTCTTGGAGTCGTAATAAAATATTAATTGGTAATTTCTTGAACAATTTATAGTTATCAATCGTTTATAGTCAGATTTATAGTTACACATTCGAGAGAGCATTGAAAAGAATAAAATAACATTTCGCGATTTTACTTATATATTGAATGTTTTAAAAGGCTGCGAAACTCGTAAACAATGTACAGCATTATTTTTAAAACATTATGCTTTGAATGCATAAATAAAAAGCGCGAACTTTAGTAAAGTAGTAGAAATTGTTCTCCTCGTTTATCTATCTCGAGCGTTTCAGATTTGGGATTGTAATTGCGATTATTACATTTAGAAACGATCGCTTGGTTCTTGACAATCGATGCACACCTCCCGCTCGCGAAGCATAGAAGGCTGGTATAACGCGCATTACGAGTGTAGGAGGAAGGACCAGCTCGACAGCCGTGGGGCGGAATAATCCTTATTACAGTCGGGTATCTCGTTATCATCCATCGGCGGCACCGCGAGCGCAAAATGCGACGCGGGGGTGCGCGCACGTTTGATGGGAACGGCTACACTTGTCGACTCGTTCGCTTGTAAACGACAACTTCGCTTGTGCGCTGAGAGAGTTCGCACGCCCGACAGTAACACCAATAACGATAGGCGTTCGTGAAAAAATTGTAAACGCGCTCCCGCGTTTTACCCGTCCCGCGCTGAATTAGATGGCTTTACACGGATCAAGGGTCTAGGAGAAGGTTACGCAGATTTTCCGGGATTATTCGAGGCGGACAGTTCGGCAATAGTTTCCAAGCGATCGCGCAGCCACCGTTGTTTCCAAGTTTCTCTATCTGGAGACGGTTTCCGTTAAAACGAGAGGGCGCTGCTGCGCGTCGCTCGATCTTCGCGTTTCTCGAGGAGGAGTGACTTGAAAGCCAGTCGAAGGCACAGACGATCCGCAAGAGATTGAACACACGGATTAGCCAAATAAGAATGCGATGAAACCACATGAAGAGATCCCATTACCGATAAGGAGTCGGTAAGGCTTCCGCTGAGGATACGGCCAATCGTGGGCCAACCTCGCCGAGAACGTTAGACCCCTATTACCCTCGCGACATCCACAGCTTGTACGATTTCTAATCCAATTTGATACGAAGAAAACACGATTAAGTTTGAGATATTTGCGTACACAGAAACCGATTGTCGGATCGGACAGCCCCTCTTGCGACTGCCCTCTCGACGCTCGCTACGGTTCATACTCTTACCATCTTTGATATAAGAATAGCGGGTTGATAAGTCCGTTGATCGGCGCTCGACGCAGCGCTGCTCAAACATCGGTTAACGATCACACAGCAACAGAGTATTTCCTTAACCACGGTGAACTCGTCAACGCTGACGCCGATGCATCTGAGGAAGGCGAAGCTAATGTTCTTCTGGGTCAGGTACCCGTCTTCGTCCATCCTCAAGATGTACTTCCCCGATATCAAGTTCAATAAGAACAACACAGCGCAGTTGGTTAAATGGTTCAGCAATTTCCGGTGAGTACCATCAAATTATTTATTCGTGTCGGTATTGGGGCTGTTTGCAGCCTGCAATCCGACACGGGGTGTCTCACTCGAAACAAGCCTCCTTATTAACGACGATAATATTTCTCCACTTGCTGATAATTGTGTTTATGAAGCATAAGAGGATGAAGATGATATCGAATCAGAGAAATTGCACCTGCTAGAGCATTTCGTTGTTACAAAATGTTTTCTAGTGTTTAAGTTCGAATGTGAAATTTCAAATAACACATCGATTCAGATTGGAAGAAACAATCGGCAGGCTTATTTCGTTTGAAACATTCTGCGTATGAAAAATAACGCGGGTACAGAATGTATTCAGCACGGATATGGTCATCGTTCTCTTCCGATCAAGTGCATGCTCGATTATCGTATCATTTCCGAAGGAGCGTAACAACGTACGGGTACGCGGAAATTTGCATTCAACGTTCGCCACGATGTTCAGTAACGAGAACGCCTGTGTAACGTCCAGGAACATAGCTGATAGATCGTAGACGGAATAATCTTCCGATCGAACCGGGGCATTTTTTAATCACCGATCCCGAACGCGATGTCCCGTGTTCGTTTCCCGCGAAAAATAGAACAAGACCGTGGAAGACGTTCGGGTTACGCGCGATCCCATTCCGTGTATGCAAACGAAATCGAGCTTTCCAAGGGATCGACCACTCCCTACGCAGAGAAACGGTCAGAACCCAAGAGACGACAGTCACGATGGGTGTGTCCGAATCTTAATTACCCTCCCTTCGGCCGAGGATAAGTAACGCGGCTACATTGCCGCAGGTATAAAGCGTAGGAGGTGGTGGCTACCGACACATACCGGCCGGCAGGCATTAGCCTGATTATAATTAGCCTGAGTACAGTACAGATCCCAGATATAAGGTGGTCAAAGAGGCCGCACTTGGTCACGCCGTTACATTATTGCCGTTTTCTTATCGCGAGAGACGCCCATCCTCCCGAAAACCATAAGTTTCCATCGCATCACAGTTCGACGAGTCCGCGGCTCCGCTTCTGCGGCGGGGCTTCGTTTATTCGGTTCGGGAAATTCGTAATCGACGTCTCGCTTTCCAACGATCGCGCGACGATCACGTTTCCACTATGATTTGGTTCGCCAGAAAGAAATGTCTGAATTTTCAGCAAGAAATTAATGTAACGTGGATTTCTCGCGTGAATTATTCTCAGCTGCGTATCTCTTGTTCTCGGTCAGTCTTTTATTCGCAGCAGTCGGATTAATATGTACAAACTGAAATAATTGAATCAAATGTACCGAATGTTTTTCAAATTGCACATTGACGGTCGATTTTTGGGTTACGGATGGAATCTATGAATTATGAACAGTCTCCCGTTTCAAAAACTGTTTTATTGGCAAGCCCGATATTGGTTTCGACTAAAAAATTGATTTCTTTCGCCGATGCATTGACAATGAGTACTCGAAGTTCAATTAGACTCTGCTAGCTGCAATTTCTATTTCGATGTTCTGAAATTATTGATAACGTTTCAAAAAGTAATCAACAATTAAAGGCTTCCTGAAAAAAGTCTCGGCGGCGATGGTAATTTTGGACGAGTAGCACGGTGTAATAATCTAGTCTAATAGACAATTAACGTGTTTTAATCCTGCCTTTGGAAACAGCACAGTCACGGAGGAGCCTATTAATAGTCTCCCGGTGGCGAAAGCGTTAAAGTAATTACAGTTTCGTTTAATCGGAACAACGGTCGACGTGTTCTAGCTTTGGATTTCTGGTTAGCGAAATTCTATCGTCTGGCTGGCAAGCAACGCTGTCAACTTACGGTTTCGCATACATTAGAAGCGTCGAAATGCACCGCGAACTTGACACCTCCGGCTACGATACTCAATTCCAGCATCGATTTTCAATACGTTCATCATGCCGGACCGCGCCGCGCCGGCCGATCTCGTACGAAATATTCGAAGCACTCGACCGACCCGCAGGAAAGCCAGCCACAAAAATTTAATTAACGCAGGGAAAGGTCCATTAAAAATTGTCGCATGTAAAAAATGAGGGAGTAGTAGGAGAACACTTAAAATTTCACCGGGACATGAGCAGGCTATTCCCGGTCGGTCGTGAAAATTTGTTGCGTGGAATGAAGTAGAGCTCTCGCTATCAGAATTATACAGAATCGTTTTCCGAATCAGGAGGACCGGAGGCTCGAGGAATTAGAAGGAAGCCGAGTTCGCGGCGGAAATAGGCGCGGCACGGAAATAAAAAAAAAAACATATAAATATATGCATATACATATATGAATACACGCGTATATGCAACACGTTCACCGAGGACCGTGTATGTTGACGGGAAAGAAAAGGGTACGCGGATCAGTTGCGAGCAACTTGTCCCTCGTGCCGTTGCTCTCCGGCACTCGGCCCCCTTCTCCCCTGGCCCTGTTTCGCTCTCTCGAAACATTTTCCACCGTAGCCGACGAGAAAGAGAATCGGTTAGAGTGGTTGATAAGAGAGAACGGCCGTGGTGCGTGTTAGCGAAAGTTTGTAACGTCCAGCAAAAATTGCATCGGAGGCCAGGCTTCCGTCGTTAAGCACAAAGCTAATTACCGGCTGAATATATTTCGCTACATTTTGTCGTGTCGGCCGCGGGGCTCTTCGGTCTCTCTTCAACGACACACTCTCCCCCGCTCTTTTTCTTTCATCGTCCTTCGCTTTCTGACTTCTGTTAGCTTCGCGATCACGGTGACGAATCAGACGGAACCGACGCGAAACGCGAGGCTACTCCTCGAATTACTTACGATACCAATCACCACGAGGCTTGAGTGCGCTCAGATCTAGACTCGCGAATGTGTTAGTCGCATTTACGAAAATGTTCGCTTGCGTCTTAAAACGTGATCTATACATGCCTGTTCGTTAAAAAGCCAAGTGAATTAAATTATGAAGTTACTATCAATTGACTTAACTCTAAATTATCCGAACAATAAATATGATCTGTAAACGATGCACGAGTTAGCAAAGAATATCACTCCATCCTCGAAATGAGGAAAACGTGACTTACGTCGCTACGATTCGAATTCACTTAAATGTTCCAGTGAAATTTCAATTTTCTGGTAACTAGTTGAAACCGTTAGTTATTCGTGCAGATGTTGATTAATAGGAAACAAAATTGAAGTAACTATAGTTTTTGTTTTGGACACTGAACCTAACGAACGCTAAAAGCAGCTAACCGAATTTATTTAGACTTCTCGTTATTTTCGTTATAACATATATTTTAATTAAGAAATTTATTCAATCGTTTCCTGCGAAAGACATTTTATTAGTTTAACAATTTTTGAAGAAAAATGTTTGAAAGAAAATCTCTTGTGTCAAAAATAGTCCGACAGTATTCTTAAATTGTTTTCATATTTCGACAGCTTTGAATTCCACTTGCTTATTTTTGTCACAAATTCGTGCTTAGAATTAATACAGTTAAATATTAAAAACACTGATTAAGACGGCAAAGTTACAAAATCGATGCAGACTGTCCGCAGTGTCTCATAAGAAAGGTTTTCCAACGGAGACCGCCGGACGTTTATAAGCTGTTTGCCATTTGAAACGTTCTAAATTTAAGTATGTTCTATTTTAAAACAACTTGTCCTGCAGTTCTTATTGGAAATCTGTATGGCGGAAAAGGTACAACCTTTAATTTATCGCCTGAATCTTCTTCAATGAACGTCCAGTAGTCTGGTTACATTTATTTTTTAAGCGACGTTACAAAGATAAGCTGACTTCAATTGACTTTATTTATTCATTTTTGAAGTCACATTTCTTGTGATCGGGCCCTTTTAAGTTGGTCCTATTATTTCAATTGCTCTTGACATTAGATTTACGGATTTACAAAAAACAGCTGATTTATATTAGTTTATAAAAGTAATAATAAGCCATTTTTATTCTGATTTTTAACAAGTGTTATTGTATCATTTGCCGTAAGTAACGCATAAATTGAACAAATAACTCATAAATGTATATTTACGATATGAATAATCGTAAATTAAGAAATTAGTGACCCATCATTTTGACGAGTTCCGTAAACTTAGTATCAACTCTTGGACGACGCACCACTTTCAACAATGTTGATGAAGATTCTCATCTTTTCTGTTGTTCCTGGTGTAAAAATAGTTTGTTTCGTTCAATTGCCAAAAATGTAATAATTCAGTGATGATCGAAATACGCTGGACAAAGATGACTGGTAATCGCAGTTCGAGGGTTAAAGTTTGTGGCTACGAACCGAGACAGCGAGCCATGTTTACGTACGGGAGCATACTACTGTGATCAAAAAGTAAGGTGAATTTGTTTATAAAATGTAAATTCTTTATTTATTCTTCCAAATCAATTTCATCCCCTTCAAAGTAATCCCCGTCCGATAAAACGCACTGTTTCCGACGCTTTTTCCAGTCCTCGAAACAGTCGGAATAGTCTTTTTCCGGTATAGCCTTCAAGACCTTCTTCGATTCGGTTTTTATCTCCTCAATCGTGTCAAAACGGCGTCCCCGCATTGGCTTTTTGAGTTTGCTGAATAACCAGAAGTCGCACGGAGCCAAATCAGGCGAATACGGTGGTTGCAGAACGATATGAGTCGAGTTTTTGGCAAAAAAGTCGCGAAGAACCAATGCAGTATGACATGGCACCAATCGAGACTTGACGCGTTTGAGACACAAAACATCTTTCAAAATGGTTTGGACTGAGCCAAATGATATTCCAACACTATCAGCGAGGTCTCTCATTGTCAGTCGACGATTTTCAAGCACCATATCTTCGATTTTTTTGGACGTGGCCCTCGTCGGTAGACGTTGATGGTCGTCCAGAGCGCGGTTCGTCTTCAACGCGTTCTCGGCCCGTACCACTTATAAACGTTTTTTTGTGCCATAGTTTGATCACCAAAGGCCT